CAGCCCCCCATGACCCTAGTGAGGATTAAGCGGTGTATAAATAATGGATGGATGGATTACTTTTTGGCAGGACACTGGCTGTATTTATGTGAGAACTACCAATCCTGATCAAACATGTTCTGAGCTTAGCACATGGAAATTGATTATGCTCATATTTTGTGGTAGTAACTCCAGAAAGGTGTATTTTACCTGTAAGGTATATCCAGGGAAAAGGCAACTGTTCATGGAGTTGAAAAGCTTGCATCACAAAGCTGTACTGGGATGTGTAAACACTACAGTGGATTGGCTGAGATGGTGTGTTGTGGAAACTCAGTGTAGTTGTCACGATACACTCCTGGCCTAAATGTCAGCAGTGTATATTGAAAACATGCATGAAACATGGGTGGTGGTCCATCTCAGTGCGGGCATGTTATTTTGCGTCTGCACAGTCATGCGCTTTCTTACGTGTCATGCTATCTGGACACAAGGTCGGTTCTGATCGGGCTCAGCTGGGTCATCTGGGGGAAGATGTGTGTTAGTGAAAGACCTGAAACCAACAGTGGGTCCAGGAGCTTCACTGAAGACGCCTCCAGAAGCATCAGTAAATGATATTTCAGCACACGTGTTGTCATGCTTGAGATCTATCGGTGGATTACCCTTTGTGACATTTAGAAGCCGATCTCTTCACGGTGATAATGTGGCTGGCTGACATTCCTCACATACCTGTTAACTGTGAAGTCACATCTCTGACTGATCATTACAGAAACATGCAAGACTGTGTGACTTAACAGCAGCAGCAGAGATATCAAGGCAACTGGTTTAGGTCCGTGCTGCAGGAAGCCCAAGTATACTTCATTTTATTGGATGTTTCTCACCTAATGTAAAGATAATGTGCAGGTAATAGGACGATATCTCATATTTAATTGTGCAGAGCTACTGAGGTTCTGCATAAGTTATCTTGTAATTACGGCTATCAGTACTCAGGGAAAGTTTTGGCACGTTACCATTTGGATTGATATCTAACTAAGCTGCTTGTAGGGTCTATATCATCTCTCAATGTAGGGAACAGACTGCTCCACAAAAACAACTCAGTGTAGCAGCACTGCACACTCATTCTTTATGTGGAATTGATCTTTTGTGTTGCGTATCAGAAAAACAACTGCCTGATTTGGCTGCATTGTGTCTGCTATTGTTGTAGCACATGTCTTTTTTTAAATAAAACTACTTATATCAGGTTATGCATGTCAATACAGTGTCACCATTGCATTAGCATGTGTGGGCAAAGGGCATAAAATCAAACCAAGGAGCTCACTGATATATCATATGGGGATATGCGGGCACCCGTGGTTATAATTTAAAGGGACGATTGCCCTCTAAACGTGATCACATTTACTATTAATTAATGTTTGGTTTTACAGCCAGTATTTATAGTCGTGCTCATCCGTTCTCATCAGCGTGATCCGTCTCCTTTGCCAGCTGTTTCCACAGACCTGTAGGTGTGGATTTCCTTTTTGACCTCAGTCCAGGTCGAGCTCAGTGTGTTCATGCTGTAACTCTGAGTGTATTTTACTTGAGCTCGTGTTTTTAATAATATAGTTCTTGAATGTTTTGATTTGTGTGTTTTCCAAAATCATCATGTTTTTTTTTTCTAAATGTACATAAGGAGTCTAGTTTATGTTACAGATTTGTAGTGTGTGTTTTCTGTTTTGTTGCCCTCTCTGTGCTTCAGGCTTCAGCTTTCTTCACTGTCAGTGTAGTATTAGTGGAAGTCACCTCGGTAGTTCAGTTTAAACTTCTTTTAGCAAACTGCTGTGGGTGTTTACAGCAGACTGGTTCTTGCTGAATCTTGCTGAACTAGAGCCTTTACAATGCCCCTGCTCATGTGATGCTTTGTTTACAGATTAATTGGGTTTCTGTAATCACATTTAAAGCTCGTCGTACAGATTGACACGTATAACCACTAACCAGGCTTACGAAACTGTGCAGAAAAAGAGCACATGCTGTGAGCAACAGTGGATCCCCAGCTAGCATGTTTATGCTGCTCAACCAGTAATGTGTGCTCTCTGTGATATAATAAAATGCTAAACGTGCACCCACATGAAAACTTATACGAGAGCAGTTCATTAAAAGCAACAAGTACCTGCGTTACCGAGCCTGAAATGTAAGAACTGAAGGGGTTAGTGTGCAGCTACTGGCTCATATGAACGTTTTGTTAAGTAGCTGAGAGCCGAGACAGCGTAACATGTCGATAAAGTTTCTTACAACGATAAATCCGATACAGATAATACTGCTAGAGTGGATGCAGAGGTGGTTGTTGACCTCCATTTGCTCTGCGGTCAGTGCTTCAAGGTTCCTAGATTAGTATAATCATAATAAGCTGATCGGGAGGCGATCCTGATGACACAGAGAACACGGTGCAGCTCAGACTGCCTGGGCTGTCTGAGCTGATATTACAACCGACATCTCCTCAGTTGTGGATAGTTCCTCCTAATCGTTTACTCCATCTAAGATGACTTTACTCCAGGAACTGCACCCCCAGAGTCACTTTGAGTCAACATTTCACTCTGAGATATTGGTTTTAGTCTGTATTTACCAAATAATCATAGGAAATGCTGACTGTGCTGTTCTTGTAGTAGCCGTCCAATGACTTCAAGTGCTCGAAATATCAGAAAATGTGTTGTTGTTTATATGTTTAGTGCTCATACAGGCAGATCAGCTGTCAGAAATGGGTTCGATCTATGGCTGATTGACTTTATTGGCTGTTGCAAACACTACATAAGTGTTTGTATACATGTGCCTGATCCAGGCAGCAACACAAATAAAAGCACAATTTATGTTCTTCCATCAGCAGTGGAAGCAGAACTATAAGGCTTCATTCATGGACAGTTGGTGTCCTACACAACCAGCCCACCTGCAACTGCTCCACAAAAGACGTCACATGGGCGTACATTCCTTTTAAACGCTTTGTTACGCGCTGATATATGCGGCACAGGTTTGCAGATGCGACATGCAGTCAAGCATGTGGAGCTCACATGGCAGCGAGAGCCTTTGTTGCTCAGGAACAATAGTTTAGGACGTTAAAAAAAGCTGCAGCCCTGCAAAGAGGGAGTCAAAGGTGTCAGTCAACAGCATAGAAAAGACTGTTTTTGATGTTTTGATTGAAGATAAACTGATCTAACCTCGTCAGCAAAGTAAAAATAGGAGGTGTCTGTCATTTTTTTTAACCTGGCGTGAAGCTCTTGCCGTATGAGATGTCAGGGCGGCCACTGATTCATGTCATTCGTTCTTTTGCCGCCTGGTGACAGCTGCTGACTGCCCGTCACGCTGTCATTCTTACCCGTTGTCTGTCGGGTTGTGATAGGCTGCCTCATCCTATATTTTCTTTTCCTTTCTTGTCTTTTCCTGCAAAGGGAAATGATGCAAACCAAACGCCGGCGTGGGGGACAGCTGTCACGAAATTTAGAACAATAGGTCTGCGTGCAGCCATTTCTACCGTGATGTTTATTTCACTTCCCTTTGGTGCTGCTTACGGCTTAGCAGCGTGTTTTTATTCTGTCAGTTTTCTGTATTTGCCGACGGTTTTGCTCTATCCATCCTAATGTTTGTAGGAGTCGATACCTCTCTTTTCCAGCAGCCCGGTTACAGCTAAAGCAGCAGGTCATCTTGTTACCCGCCATACAAGATAATAAAGCACCACAGGAGAGGGTGTAATCCGGACTGAGCTGCACTTTAATAAGGGGGCATCACAGGGTCCCAGATGAAAGTAGGAGATAAGTCGAGGCAACAAGTAATTATTTTTTTGGGTTAATTGAGTCCTCGTTTGGTCGATAAAATGACGAGAAACGTCCATCGATGTTTCCTGAAGTCCAAGATGACGTCATCAAACGTTGTGTTTTGACAACAACCCAAAGAAAAACAGTTTACTGTCAAAAAGGGGCAAGCAAATAAAAAAGAAAATCAAATTTAAAAAAGGTTTTTCTATCTTCAAGATGATCAAAATTGTTATTGATTAATGTAGCACCTAATTGATTAACAGCTCTGGCAGTGGTTGAGCAAAGTTAGATCAACCCGAATGAGGCGGAGATGGGAGGAGAAGCGATGCACGCTCAGCGAAAGGGGGAGTGACCGAATTTACAATAAATCTAAAACAAAGAGGCCTCGGTGCTGGTTCGGTCGGAGAACACAGGCAGAAAATTACTGGCCAAGAGTAGAAACGTTTAAATGAAGAATGAAACGACTCTGACAGCGTGGGAAAATGGACGAGGAGACGGAGAAGCTCACATCAACCAAGAGCAAAGGAGTCGGAACAGATCCATCTCACCGAGGCCTCAGCTTCATGTTCTATACATAATAGATCTGTTCAACTAAACTGGTAGATTGCTGAGGAAACAGTGTGTGTGTGTGTTTCTCCCTCTCCCTCGCTGGTAATTGGTATTATGTAATCAGAGGTATTGTTTCGGTTCTGTTTGGTGTTGGCTCCGGCCCAGTGGCTGCTAGCTGCCTACAACCGAGTAATAATAAACTGATGATGGCAGAGAGAGAATCTTATTGGCTAACCTTAAAACCCCAAACGCTTGTTGACAAGTCAGTCATTTTAAAAGCTCTCATTGATGCAAGTAATTGGTCTCCTGAAAGCCATCAAGGCATTAAAACAGGAAGAGACAAACAGTTGTGCTGCAGTTCATGTTCTCCGTTTAGATTATCTTGATCTGTCTGAATGTTGTTGTGAGTGTCATGTTGTCCTGCTCACAGTGTTCTTGTTTACTGACCTTTCATCGTCTCCGCTAACGCAATGCACTCATTTGCTCGTCTGTGGCCGAATGGACGGCCTCCCAGACGTATATATAGCTGTCACTAAAGAAATTACCTTAATGAAGCACAGTGAATTCACTTGTCCTTGTTTGAGCGAGTTCAGAATAGATGCTGGCATCAGCGCGGCACAGTAGTCGCAGAGGGTCTCGTTTCTTGCATCACGTTTATTTTTGGAGAATCGTGTAAACAGTTGCTGCGGCCAATAGTGAAGCAGCAGCGGGCTGAGATGGCAACAAGTGAAACGGCAGACTCACGCTTTGCACAGGAAACTCTTTCCAGTCGTACGCACGGAGACTTTAAATAGCTTTTATGCTGGAAACGAGCAGAATCTGGAATCCCTTAATCAGGGATTTAACCCGTGTTCCCGGTCGACGGGCAGCCTCTCAAACTATTTGGCCGATCCGGTGAAATTCTCGGGCCTCGGAAGTCGCATGAAAAGCGAGCGAGACAGAGTGACAGGCGGGCAGAAGTTCAACCCCGTCATTTTCTTCCTGTTAGGATTCCAGCATTCCTGCTCTCAGCGTCCCCTCCTCCTCCTCCTCCTCCTCTGGCACGTGGACTGTTGGCACGTAGACTGAAAAATACCACTTGTGTCTGGGCAGCAGATTTTATGCCTGGAGGGCAGCAGTTAGGGGAGAATGGAGAGGGTGAAAACAGAACAAAGACATGTCAAGTGAGGTAGCCGGGGAGGAAGGGATGCGTCAGAGGTGATGCAACGGAGGACTAAGCGGCGATGACAAGCAAAGTTTGAGCTGCTAAACTGTGATAAAGATACCATCAAAGTGCCAGTTCACACAGACATCTGAGCAGCACCACAAAAACACACTTTGAGACTTACTTAGTGACTGATTTTGTTTAATAATCTTGATGCTAACTGTAGTAAAGCCTGAATACCATGCAAATAAGGAGGTTGTAACCCTTCATATTGAACATTTGTTGGCTGTTTTGAACTCTCACATATTTCATCCTGTGTCTGTTTTGTTGTTCAGATCCAGACATTTGGCGTCGAGGCTCCGTGCAAGACAGTAGAAGACTTGACCAGTGGCGTCGTCATGGCCCAGGCTCTGCAGAAAATGTACGTTTTGCAATATTTGTTATCGGTTGAACTTTAATAAAAATGCATTTTCTGCATGTGTTCCAACACGTTTTCCTAAATCAGCTCATCCTTCCCGACAAACCGGCCTCTTTGTTCATGCTTTGCTTTTTCACCAAAACACACGTCACACTTTTTAAACCCTTTTTTGTCTTTGTCTGTCTGAATTCTGTAGAGATATAGTGTATTTCAACGATGCTTGGATCAGTAGAATCAAGCCAGAGGTTGGCGACAACTGGAGGTTAAAGGTAAGAAGGTTTAGATTTTGCTTCTTGTGTCTTCTTTAGCTGTATGAAATAGCAGACCTGTCGAAATGTACATTTCTCTTGAGATGGTGGTTGTATGTTGTGTATTTCTAAAGCTTTATGTAATTCCACAATAACTTCAGATTTTAAAACGTGTTTTTGTGTTGGTTTAGCATGAATTAGTACTTGCTGTCTTACCTTTGTAGTCAGTCTGTCTTGTGTATCTAAATTCTCTCTTCTTTTATTTTTTCAGATCAGCAATCTAAAGAAAATCCTAAAGGGCATCCTAGATTATAACCAGGAGGTAAGACAATTTTGTTGTACTCATCTTAAGGTAAAAACGCTGTCAGCACTCAGCATCCAGACCACAGGACGCAGTTCTGTTGCTGAAAAGAAGTTGTTGTGTGTCTATTCCACCCTTAATCCCTTCAGGCCAACACAGGTCGGGATAATCCAGTTTTCATATCACAAAATAATGAAATAAAGCTTATTTTTTGTCCCCGTCCAGGTCTTAGGCCAGCACATTAATGACTTCACACTACCAGACGTTAACCTTATCGGAGAACACTCTGACGCAGCAGAACTTGGCAGGATGCTGCAGCTTCTGCTGGGCTGCGCCGTCAACTGTGAACAGAAACAAGGTGCGTATTGGAGTGTGTTTGTCAAGAACAACGTCCTGTGATGTGTCCTTGCAAACTGACTCAGAGGCTTGAATTTCGCTCATGATTACGTCTGTTTCTCTCCAGAATACATCCAAACCATAATGATGATGGAAGAATCGGTGCAGCATGTTGTCATGACAGCCATCCAAGAGGTAGGCAATCGTTCTGCTCAGACTTGGATCAAACAGAACAGTGGTGACTCGATAATCGACCCTTAACAATCCTAAACCTGCTATCTGACAGGTTTTTAGAAAAAACCAACAGAACCCATAAAAACAGCCTTAACATAGCGACAGCCTTGGATTCTGACTCCGACATGACATTTAATGTCACCAATCAGGATGACGGCGTATTATCTGACTGAACAATCCCACAGATTGGCTACGTTCACACTGCAGGACTTGATGCTCAATGAGGATTTCTTTGTGGGTTCCTTCACGTTTCCAGTTGAATGCGACTTGTATGTGATCTGCTGTGTGAACTTCATACGACCCAAAAGTGTCCCGCATGCGCAGAAGAGGACACGACGACGTCACACGCAGCGAGCGTGCTCAGTGTTTATGGAAGTAAACATGGATGGTAACGGTGGAGCGTATCTGCCACTCCCCCACTGCCACCGATGGAGGAAACAGAAGTGTGAGCGCTAACTAAACTAGCATCAGCAGCCAAGTACTGCCTGTGCGTTCCGGACACTTCGACCCCATCGGAGCGCTCCCCCGGGGTGGAAGTGTCCCCTGACCACACCAAATATTCTGCTATTCATCATTAATTGGGCCTGAATATCCAGAGACCAGAAAGTGCTATTGGGACCAGCCCTACTAGTTATTATAACAACTATGAACAATGATTTCCAACTAATGAGCCTCCTGCATCAAGCCCTCCTTGTATCTCAACCTCCGTCTTGACAATCTGACATAAAAGAAGGTTTTACATTTAGTGTCGGATTATCGAGTCACGACTGTTTTGGTTTATCAATACAATCCCAACAATTATCACCAGTCCTTCTGTGTGCACGGAACTTCTTTCAACTCCTAACCTACTTTTGTGTGTTTTTGTAGCTGATGAGTAAAGAGACGCCGGTCACGGGAGGAAATGACTCGTATGTGGATCTCGACAGACAGGTAATAATACCTTTTGATGCATTTCAGTTCATGTTTATGCTCCTCTCGCCTCCTTTTGGGGCAGAAACCAGTAAAACAGCTGGAAGTTGAAAAAAACCCTTGCCTCAGCAGAACCACTGTGCTACTGGGCTATTATTACTGTCTACAGCCTGTTTTAAAAACCTCTCAGACAGTTTATTTGTGTGTCCATCACGTGTAAGAAGTAAATAATAGTCTCATCCATATGAACAATGAATCAATGGAGGGTTTTGATGTGTTCTGTCTCTCTGTTCTCAGCTGAAGAAGACAGCTGAAGAGCTGAATGACGCTTTGGCTACGAAGGAGGAGATCGCCCAGAGGTGTCGTGAGCTTGATATGCAGGTTGGTTTGATGGAGGCTCGTTCACATCTCGCCGTAGCGTAGTGCTCAGTTAGTCTATCACAAGTCTGAATGGCCTAACCTAGCACATCTTAAGTTCATTATTACTGTTGCTCAGTATTCCAGTGAGACTGTGAGTAGATAACACAGCAAGAAAAATGCCTGTGATTAAGTAACTGCTGAGTATCATGCAGTACTCCTTCATACTGATAAATGTGTTAAGATAATGCAATTTGAAACCGTTACATAAAATGAATAAATTGGTTGAACGCATTATGTTGTGTTATGTAACGACACATACAAACCACATCCAACCTTCAACGAGGTCCCTGCTGTATTTTGTGACTCTTTTACTACATAACTGATGTTGTCGTACTTCTACAGATGTTATTGGTGACGCTTTAAAAGCAGCTCCCTTTTTTTTTTTCTTTTTTTTTTAACATAATTAGTCTATAATTACATGATAGTAAATTGGTTGATCTGTTGTTACCGATCTGGATTCTTACTTACTTCCTTGTCAAATTGTTTTTTCCCCTTAACAGTAATAAACTGTCCAAAAAAAATGAGAGAACACACAATTTATGTCCGTCTTCATAGCAATTGATCACAATAAACCTAAATATTTTGCATTTAGTTTCTGCTAATGGCAGCATTATTGCAAAAAAAAAAGTGGAGCTGTAGTTTAAAGGGTTACCTGCTCTCCTGTTGAATCAGTTTCCTCCTATTTCCTTAATATTTCAATACTGTGTGCCTTGCTTTAAAGGCCCTCCATGTCCAAGAGGAGCGTGATAGACTGAGGTTAGAGTTTAATGAGCTAGAAGAGAGGGTAAATCCAAACTTCCTTTTCTTTCTTGTCTCTTTCTCCTGTCCATGCTGTGTGGTGTGTCAGATAGTCCTGGATCTTTTCAGTCTGCTTGCACCAGATCCCCCCTTCTCCAAAACCGTGTGTGCATGTTTGTGTACACGTTTGTGCACAAAGCGTTTGTGCACACGTGTACACGTGGTCCTCTTGAGGCACACCAGCCACAACTGCAGTTTTGTCTGGGTGTGTCAGATGTCATCCCTTCACTAATAAAACTCGGCGTTTTTTTTTTTTTTTTTTTTACTTTGGTGTGTTTCATGCTTTCCCACAGCAGCAGCACACAGCGAGGGAAAGAGGTTTGCATTTGAACCCAGGAAGAACCCTTGAATATCCGTTTAATATTTACACAAACTGTGAAGTATTCATATTCATTTCCCCCTTTTTAGGTAGAAAAAAAAATCATTATCAACCTTTTTGATGCACATTTTTAAAGTTTTTTTGGAGATTTGTCTCAGGTCCCCCGCATGACTCTTGTCAGCACAATTGTTTAGTCTTGCATGTACTGTATCTAAATACTTAAAGTATATTATAATTAAGTATATTTTAATTAACCCTTTCCTGGTTTTGAGAGTGAATACATCTGATTCCCACCTGGTTTCCTGCTTTTCGAGCTGCCCTCTTCACATCGTCGATGTGATGTAGGCTCGTTGCAATGAGAGAATTTTCACACTGGTGCAAGTTCTCCCAGAATGCTTCCACATGACGGTGTTAGCGGCACTTAAACGGCTCGCATTTTAAACACACGTGTTACGCTGACATAGCTTGTCGAGTGAAAATAGATCTGAATAGTTCTGAAAGTACAAAAAATACATTCAACAGGTGTGTAATCGGCTAATACCTGAGTGGGAAGTAGACCTGAAGTTGTACCCAAAACCAAATTCTCTGCCTGAAATCATAAACAGATCAGTTTTTACTTACAGTCACTAGTTAGTGTTGTGGATGTTGTACCAGTCTGGGGTCACAGAGGGCTAACTTTACTGAAATTACATTCTTTGTCTTTTATTTTCCAACATTTTTAAGACAATTTGTTGATTTGATCCTGGCAAATTCCTATAAAATCAAATGGTCATGGCTTAAGAGGCCAGTTTCTATCACAGAAGTCTACTTATTCATGTTACAGGGCACAAATATTAAGGCCAGTTCTCGTATTTGTTGAGGTACAGAGCAATAAAAGGACAACAACCAGCTTCTGCATTGCTTTGTGTGGAGTTTGATTCCCTGTCTATCACATTTGAGAAGACAACATCAACCCATATGTTGCCCTCTTCGCTGTGTTGGAGTTTGCTGCCTTGTTGGAGTGTGTTTGGTGTGTGCTTGCTTCAGTAGCAGACATGAAGCTGCAGTGAACCCTAATGGACTGAATGCTGTAAAGAACGTGTTAAATGTACATGTAGGGAGCTTGAGAGATTTACAGAGTTCGGTGTCATTCACTTCTAACTTGTTTTACTCTACGTCTCTTCTCCTCATCTTCTCAACACCATCTGTCCCTCTCCACACCTTTTGTGTTCTTCTTCCTCTGTGCCATCCCATTTTCACTTCCTGATCCACGTCTCCTTCCTCCTCCTTGCACTCCATGTGTCCTTTTTCTTTGCCCCCTTCTTCAACTCTTTCCCCAGGTGGCGGCTCTACAAGAGGAGAAGAGCAGTTTGCTAGCAGAAAATCAGGTCCTGATGGAGAGGCTCAACCAGTCGGACTCCATAGAGGATATCAACAGCCCTGCAGGACGCAGACATCTCCAGCTGCAGACACAACTGGAGCAGCTACAGGAGGAAACTTTCAGGTACGGAGCTGCAACACGGAAATGTACCGATGTCAGAAATCTTCAGCAGATTCGATGAGCAGCGTTGTTTCTTATTCCCTCCAGGCTGGAGGCGGCAAAAGACGACTACCGGATCCGTTGTGAGGAGCTTGAAAAAGAACTTTTGGATGTGAAGTCCCAGAACGAAGAGCTTTCGTCACTGGCTGATGAAGCCCAGTCTCTCAAGGATGAGATGGACGTCCTCCGGTAAGATGGAGATGCAGATGGGGATTGCAGTGTGCTTGTTTATGTTTTCGAGTGCAGTCAGAAGTTTAAGGTGGAAGATGTTCTGGGTTTTCCATCAGTCTAAGATTGTTCAGATGTCTAGTTTTGGTGAAAGCTGGTTAAGATACGACATTGAACTCTAGCTGAAGTTTTAAATGATGAAAATGAAGAGATGACAGCGTGGTGATAAAGCGTTCTCCCTCCCTTCTTTTCTGACCGTAACCTCACAAAATGAAACCGCGTGTTGTTTTCCCTCCCAGGCATTCATCAGACAAAGTGTCAAAACTGGAGGGCACAGTGGAAAACTACAAGAAGAAGCTGGAGGACATGGGGCTCCTCAGGAGACAGGTACAACGAGTGGTTGTTGATTTCTCTTACTTTCAAATCCACGGAGTCTAGAAACCAACAGGTTTGTGACCAGACTAATGAAGATTCCATGATTGTTCCTTTCCCTTTTTTTTTTCAGAATAAACTTATGGAGGAGAAGAACACAGTGTTAATGCAGACCAACGTCAGCTTAGAGGAAGAGCTACGAAAGGCGAACGCTACCAAGGGCCAGCTAGAGACGTACAAGAGACAGGTATGTTAAATGCAACCTGCAACCTAACCTGTTTACGCTTCACCAGGCTGTCTAATGCAACCCGATGTTGTTTTTTTTATATTTACAGCGGTTACACTGTGCTCACAGCTAACGTCTTCCCTTGAACTTTCCTCTCTCTGCGCAGGTGGTGGAGCTTCAGAACCGACTGTCGGAAGAGTCGAAAAAGGCCGACAAGATGGAGTTTGAGTACAAACGGGTCAAGGAGAAAGTGGACTCTCTACAAAAAGAGAAAGACGTATGTGTGATTCACTGTTATAAGGACAGATGAACCACAAAGTGTTGTTCATTTAGCATCAGAAGAGATTCAGACCAGCTGAATAACTTGTACCTGGCACGAACTGAACAATCTATATTATACTGAATGTGTTTATTTCAGATCCTAAACTACTTGTCTCTCATCTCTGCCTTCCTTTGCAGCGTATGCGGACTGAGAGAGACTCGCTGAAGGAGACTATTGAGGAACTGCACTGCGTCCAAGCTCAAGAGGGGCAGCTTACATCAAGTAAGGAAACGTCCTAAACATGAGTAGCTGATCCTGGTCTTTTCTAAGCTTAGCTCAGGCCACTCCTAGCTGTGATTACCTTGTATTAAAGCGCTCTATCTGTTTGCTCAGGTTTGTTTCCACTGGTCAGCAACGACGGTTCCGATTCGCTGGCTGCTGAGATCACCACCCCAGAGATTCGGTGTGTGTGCATGACTTTATTTCACTTTGCATGGTTGGAGGAACGTGACTCAAGGTGTTGACTTGCTCTGCTAATACCTCAAATCTTCATCTCAAGGCCACACCTTGCAAGACTTTGTCAGGCTCTGCTGCTGATACCACAGGACACCTTCAGAAGTCTTGTAACAGTCTGTGCTTCAGTGGTTTAGAGTTGTTTTGATGGCGCAGAGGGGAGCGACACAACGTGTTCATACTTTATCAATGTATTGCCAAGATGTTGGACAGCGCAGTGTGTCTGTGGGCTGCTATTGGCTTTGTAGCCAGATGGTTTCTCGTCTGTTCCGCATGCCTTCTCTGCTGTTCTAAGGTAGAGTTTGGCCTAAAAAGAGCGTTCTCTGTAGAGAGTTATGTAATAGTTGTGTGTGAGTTACATCAGCCAGCTTTCCAAGAGGGCTGGGTTTTCTCTTTGCTCTGTGCTGTGCTTGGATTTTTTCTTCTTTTTTTTTTTTCCCAGCGCTTGTGAACCTTGAAAAAATGTGGATTTACATTGAAATCTTCTAAAAGCTACTTTGGAGGAAAAGAAAAAGGCTAAAGTCAACCCAGTCGAGGCAATTCATAAGCCTGTAGAGGGAAACGCCGTGTCCTGAGGTGATGTCTCGCTCTGAATGCTGTCGAAGCTGGAAGCAGGATGTTGCAGCAGCTGATTCATACCCGCTGGCTGTCTGCTCCACATCAACCTGTTGCTTTTAAAAGCAGTTTCTGGGATTGATTGTCATCTAAATTATAAAACAGCAATAAAAACAGCTGGAGATGCAGTTATTCTCTCACCGACTCCGCTGCTCCTCCTCTGAACTCTTCTTTTTCCGTTCCCGGCTCGGCCTTCACCAGCGAGCAGCTGTGAGTCTGTCTGGAAATATTTAGCCAGTTTCTCGTCTGAAAGGAGTCAGCGGCCACGCCCTGAAGAAACAGGACGCTGGAGACTCGTTGACTACCGGCCTGTCAAACATCTCAAACTGACAGCAGTACAACAAAGCTCCCTGTCTGTCTTTCCACCTGCTGATTGTGTGAATACTTCAGATTCTGGCTGTGTTTGGTTGTTCATTGGACCAAGACGTTATTTACCTCCCTTTGTACCGTACGCAGTGTGAAATCCTCCCTGTTTGTTGGCTTTTAGGTTAGTGTTTTCTGTATTTTACTCAACCAGATTACTCCAGCGTCGAGGACAAAGCTGCTCACTCAAACATGTGGGCTGTTTTTACGCTGACTGCCTTGAACCCAACGCCGTAACACTCTCCACTTTGGCAGCTCTTGCCGTCGTCGTAAAGGCCGCCTTAATTGAACCCGTCCCCGCCACAGGAAACTTGGAGAAAGGTGCAAACCGGAGCCGAAATAAAGCGGCGTAGAGGAACAGTTTTATCGGGGCATGAGTGACTTTGAAGCTGTGGCTACTCGGGCCCAAACTTATTTTTAGCTGCAGAGACGGCGGTGTCAGCTCGTCTCCACAGCTCGTAGTGTATAATTACAGCAGTGTTAAAGCAATCTTTTTAAACGCACATCCTGTCCTGCTATTAACCAGACGGAGCCTGCAGTTGCTTGCATGTGGAACAAGACTTTCATATTTTGTGTTTTAAGGTGTTGGAATGAGATGATCGGTTATCCTACAGGTCATTCACTTTAATCACGGCCGTGCATAGTTTGTGTATAATAAATACCCAGCAAACAATAGATGCCCTGAACTATCTCTTGGTATGTTTAATCACCATCATATATCAGAATTAATCCTAAGAGTGAGACTGTTAGCTAGAGCCAGCTACCAGCTACATGCATCCAAGTGTCAGTATTCCTCTAATTTAAGACTTGCTTCTGGCTGATGTGTTCACACAGAGAACATCTGATTCGTCTCCAACATGAGAACAAGATGCTGAAGCTGGCCCAGGAGGGCTCCGATAACGAGAAGATCGCGCTGCTGCAGAGCCTACTGGAGGATGCCAACAGGAGGAAAAATGAGCTGGAGACCGAGAACAGGTCAGCACACAGACGTGCAGCCTCCCACTGTTAACAGCAAAAAGACGATAAACTTGAGGCTGAATAGCTAATATACGTGTCAGTCAAGACAGAGGAGAATTGTTTACGACCCCACATCTTAGCCCCGTGCTGACATCAATCATCTGTTTATTTCTCCACAATGATTTTCTTTGTCTCCGCTCGTATTTCATTCAAAGCCCTTCGTGCCAGAAGCCTGCTCCTCTCGTGTGTTTTCTACCACTGTGTAGCTTGCAGTTTGCCCGTTGCTGCGTCAAACACTATGTCGACAAACCGGTATTTTGTTATCTAGGTTAATCAATCAGCGCTTGATGGAGGAGCAGAGTCAGGTGGAGGAGCTGCAGAAGAATCTCCAGGAACAGGGCTCCAAAGCAGACGATGTAAGTTATATCTCGTTTCCTGTACTGTCTGTGTATCTCTGATATCAGCTGGACTGGAAATACAAATTCCCATCATACCAAGACTGCTCCTCCTCACGAAGGCTTGATATCATTGCAGTATTTTTTGTGGTACAGTTTTTATAAACAAGTAGGCAATAAGCAGAGAATGTAAATCTGGTTTGGTGTTATTCAGTTAGTGCTGCTCAGACACTACTCAGAGAAAACTACAACTGCAGCCGTTTAGGGAAGGAGGTCGCCTTTCAAGCATCAGAGATAAAGAAGTAAAAGGCAAATGGAAGATTATTACATTTATACGAAACCATACACATTCAGGAGATTTGTGATTCTGTCAAACGGACCCACACACACCATCTTGCAAAAAGTATTTTCGCAGCATCGTATTGCTCGACCTTCATCATGGTTTGTCATGTAGAGAATTACATGCTGTAAGAAGACATCGTTTTACTATAAGAGAGTTTCTAGAAATCATAAATATAACCCCAAATCTTTTACATTAAATGGGTCCATTATTATAAAATGAATGCAGCTCTGATGTTCTTGCCGTGCAGTAAAAACAAAACCCTTTTCATTTTCTTTTCTAATAACGCTCCCACTGTCAGACTATAGTAAGTATGTCGTAATTCTAGCAAGTTCTCTTTTTTTGACTTTTCAAGACCTCATTTTTCTGACTTCCTGAACTACATGTAGAACTTTAAAAGCTCTGCGTAAAGCACTGGCTGTGTCGTGCATTTCTAGAGAGTACAACACGAACCCCCTCGTCCTGTAGAACCCCGAGGCTCCTGCTTCCTCCTCTTAACTTAAAGCTGTAGTCAGTCTTAGCATGCAATCTTTTAATCCTCTGAAAGTTTCTGCTTTTACATAATTCTGCTGCACAGCACAGAAACGCTGACTCCAAACACATGGTCATACATAATAAGACTGATTTAATTGTACTTTTGCTTTGTTTCTCACACAATTTCTGATTGAGGTCCACATTATCAATCATTATTCCACATCTTAGATACAGTACATGATAATCTTCTGTTCTACTCTGCCCTCTGTTGGATTAACTTGAGCAGTGTGCTACAACTCCTGGCTTACTTTAACATGATTGCACTTTGAGTATTTCCATTTTTAAGAGTTTGTAAAGTTTTTATTCCTCTTTTTTTTCCAGTCTTCCATTCTGAAGAAGAAATACGAGGAGCACATGTAAGTGATCTTCTGAGCTGTGTTCATTTGTAGATAAATGTTCTTATCATTTAATCCTTAGGTCTTGAAATCATAAACACAATTCAGCCAAAACAAAACCTCCACTGATATTTGGTGCTTTTGTTCTTTCTCTTAGGGAAAAACTACGAGAATTGAACAACGAGTTACTGAAGAAAAACGCCTTCATCGATGAAATGGAGCCTAAATACACGGCCAGCTGTGAGTGTGGAGGGATTTCTGACTGTCATGTTGATGTCATCCTCTCTTCCCGCTTATTTTTATTGTCATTTTTTAATTTGAGTTAAACTATGGCAGCACAGTGTGACCTAAAGACGCGTAAATGCATTCGTCGCTGCATATCCTTAAAGGAAGACAGCTGAGCTAACACGTTGTTCCCCTCTCAGCCCAACGAGTGGACGAGCTGGAAGAGGCCTTGAAGAAGAAAGATGAAGACATGAAACAGATGGAGGAGAGATATAAGAAATACCTCGAAAAAGCCAAGAGTGTGAGTATACTTTCATCACGAAGGCAGACAAACGGCCTCTTGCAGGATTCACTGCAGCCACTTGTGCCCGCTGTAGATAATAACTAAACATATGTGATGTGGCCTTTACAGGTGATCCGGACGCTGGACCCCAAACAGAACCAGGGTTCGGGCCCAGAGGTGCAAGCTCTGAAAAACCAGCTGCAGGAAAAGGAGAGGATGTTGCACTCGTTGGAGGTAATCAGTCTTTAAGTTAAGAATCTGAAGAGTTAAATAATCTGGCAGAAGAAGTAGTGGACTCTGTCAGCGGGGTGACGCTCCTCAAGGTGCATTTAAGTAACTCGATAATCGACCCTTAACAATCCTAAACCTGCTATCCAACAGGTTTTTAGGAAAAAAGAACGGAACCCATAAAAAACAGCCTGAACATAGCGACAGCCTTGGATTCTGACTCCGACGTGTCACCACCACCAATCAGGATAACGGCGTATTATCTGACTGAACAATCCCACAGATTGGCTACGTTCACACTGCAGGACTTGATGCTCAATGAGGATTTCTTTGTGATAGTCCCCCTTTTTACTTCAGTAACAAGTGTTTTCCCTCAGCATCACAGTGTAGTCGTCACATCAGTAGTTTTAGGATCCAGTCATTAGTCGGCTGCAGACAGATTCGGGCAGATGTCCATCTAAGATCACTGCACAAGTTTCTGAGGCTTCATGATAACGTTAGCACTTCTAATGATCGCAAAAGCCGGTCTGAAGCATGTGCAGAGTTTCCGTAGCAGAGCGGTCGCACAATGCAGCTGAAGGGAAATTAGCATCTGCTTGCTTCTCTCCTCACCTCTGTGCTCACATATATTGTATTTTACTACAGCTGAATTCCCAATAATGCTGCTGTCATTTACATATTTTTCTGTTTTCGGTTGGAAGACATTGGAAATATGAGACAGTAACAGCCTTTTAAAACTTTGTGTTAACCAGCTGAACAACCCACACCGTCTTTATCTCACCATCAGTCGTGAATTCAAAGCTACTATCAAAGTTAGAGAACAAAAAGAGAAAAGGAGTTGCTTCAGCTGCTCTGTTCTTGCATTTGTTTAAACATAAATCTAACTTTTTACTAAGTTAGGAGGTTTAATAGCAATTTTGGGAGTTGTAGTTTGACTCACTCCAAAATGATGTGAATGTCAAGGAAAATAATTCATCGAATAATCAGTGAAATAGTCGGTAGATTGATAAGCAGCAGCGCCAGATCCTCCATGATGATGCAAGAAAGCCAAAGTTAGAATAACAGAAGGCAGCCCATCTCCTATAAGTTACTGCCACCTAGAGAAAGAAGTGTGTGACAACACCGTGGCGGTATTCGGTCAACTCCTGTCATTGCTGAAGTTCTTTTATGTTTCCTCCCAACAGAAAGAAATGGACAAGACGAAGAGCCAGAGAGAACACGAGGAGAAACTGATCGTGTCAGCCTGGTACAACATGGTGAGGAGGATCTATAGAGCCTGAAAATGTGCTTTAAAACAGGAGTCGCTACTTCATTATTATAAAAAACTATTCTTGTTTAAAGCATTTCAGATGTTTTTATGCACTCGCTTTAAATAGTTTTGATAAAGCTGCATGTAAAAAGCAGTCAGCTGTTATTTGAGCCACTAGAGGGCAGCAGAGACTTTCCTATAACCTCCACTGTTTGCTTGTAACACACTTGATCAGTTGCTGGTATTAGCGTTCATGAAAACTTAAATCAGCACTAATGCTACATTTAGACTCATTTGCTTCCTCGTACATCAACATTAGTGGACCGATGGTGGCTGATTCTCTAGAGGAGCATCCTGCTCTGCGTGTTGAAGCTCCAGCACAAGCACCTCGCAGTTAAAAAGCCCGTTAACGTTGCTCCTCCGTGTCCTTTCTCAGGGTATGTCTATGCAGAAGAAGGCGGCTGAAGACCGACTCGCCAACACCGGCTCCGGCCAGTCTTTCCTGGCCCGGCAGAGACAAGCCACCAGCACACGCCGCTCCTACCCGGGTCACGTCCAGCCAGCTACCGCAAGGTAGATGGCAGCAGGGCACAAAAACACAGCGACAAGCTGCTTTACAAACCCCCCCTGAACTTGCATACAGTTAGACGTGCCTGTTTTGAGGCACTCTGTTTCCATTCATTTCTAATGGAAGCTCTTGTTTTCTTGCATTCCTTCCATTGATTTCCTTTTTTTTGTTGTTTTCCTCCTTGATCAGATCCATGAGGTAGAGATGCCAGCCAAGGCTGCCCAAACCACTTTTTTTTTCTCCCTCTGACTAAGCATATTTTACCTTGACCCCTATGATGCAAGACCTTTTTTTTTTTAATTTTTCAAACTTCAGCACATTTGCTAGGGTCTGACTAATCACTCCAAACGTCCTCCCTCTCGACCGCTGACCTTCCCGAATCCGCGGCAAACCTTTTTTGCCGCACAGGTAACCCCCGGACCCCAAGGCTCAGAAGAGTCGCATCTTCTCGACAAGTTACTGTCGGTTTCGATGAGAGGAGCCGCTCGACCTGGTCATGCAGTATTTACGCACATCTTCTACCTGTGATAACATTTGGCTTGTTCTTTCTTTTCTGACTGGAGTTAACAGAGTTCCTGTCCCGCGTTGTGTTTTAACTCTTTATGATGTAGCTTTAAGGGCGTCAAAGGTGATTTTCAGTTACTGGTCTCACTGTTTAAATGTCATTTCATCTGATTTTGTGTTGGTCTTAAACAAGAGGCATAGGAAGATGTGTTGATGGTGGATTTGCTAAGTAGTGTGAAGGATCTGATTGATTGATTTCTTATAGGAAAACAAAAGTCCAGGTTGGTAAAAGTGCAGCAATAACTCAGAATGGTCATTTTTCTCCAGCAAAAGCAAAAGGTCGTCTGTGAATCCACAGCTGGACGGTTGATGGCTGCTGTATATAATAGTGTAAATTGATTTCTCTCGTAAAGAGCGAGGAGCCACCTTCTGAGCAAAAAAACCGCTTCACTGGGTTTTTAGCCTCACCAGCATTTACAAGGTTGTGTCAGACAACACCTCACGTGCCATAGCGTTAGTTTCTGACCCCTGCGACACCGCGGGCGTCTCCGTTAAGATAAGAAATGTGCTCAGAGAACGATTTTGGTTCCTCGTTGCTCGACCCAGCGTTAGTTTGTAGGTCACTGTTAATGCCAAAAAGTCAACAATAGGATGTACTTTCCATGTAAGTTTAGTGCTATTATAGTATAAAAAGGTGTCGAACAGGGACGCTTGTTGTTCTCATCGCCTCTTTAACCCTTTTTTTTTTCTTTCCCCGGCGCATCGTGGACGCTCTCTTATTAACGCCTGTTTAGATCAGGGGCCCACACTGTTGATTTCCACCTAACAAGCCCTGCCATCTGACCATTACTTCTCTTTCTCCTCCCTCAACAGCAATGTCACTGCATGACTGGCACACCAATGACCTGTCCGGGCCCCCGTGCCGCCTGGCCGGGCCCTTCCCCCGCTGACCCGTGGCCGGGCTAGGCCGAGGCACGCAATGCATGAACTACCTGCCTGCGCACTGTTTGCATGACCTTGAATTGACTCGAAGCCTGCGAATAACCAGCCCACTAGCAGCAGCAGCAGCAGCAGCAGCAGCATGAGCACTAACAACCCTCTGCAGAGTCATGCGTTCTAACCTCCAGACAAGCCCACGCGGGGGGACGGGGTAGGAGAAAGGAAAACACCTCTCACACACACCTTTCCTCCAATTAATTTCCTTTCCTCTCCTGGCTCCTTTCCCCCTCTCCCTCGTTCTTATGCTCTGTGTTACTGTCTCCATCTCCTCCATCCTCCTCATGGACATGCCTGCTCGTGCTTCTGCACCGCAACGAGTCTGTTACGATTCAGCCGACGTTACAAACGCCCGGGACGGGGGCAGAATGTCCACCGCAGTGTTGTCTGTCAAGCTTTGGTTTAACGAGCCCTTCTCTGTAGTAACCTGGTGTGGGGCGAGCTGCTTCAGGATACCTCAACGACACGTTTCCGCATATCTGTTCTTGGAGGAAGCGATTAGCCGGTCTGCATAACGAAACAAAAAGAGTCCCCTCCCCCTCCAAGTGTTTACCTGTCCTCAACCTGTCGCTAGACGGGATCGTAGAAGTTTTACCTCAAGTGTTGAATACAGCGAGACGTGGATTAAAGGAGAGCTCACAGGGCTTCTCTGTGTCGCCCTGTAGGAGCGTAGGACGGCACAATAAGTATTTTGAATTGTTACAAACACGTTTTCTGGAGGATTAAAGCCCCCATTAAGCCTACTCGCGATTTCTCTCGGATATATTTCTTGATCAGATTTCTGTGATGTTTCTGGTGGTTGATCGCTACCCGGAGCAGAAGAGTGCACTTTGCCACGCGTTTAGTATTAACGGAGAATCCTGGTTACAAAAATCGAGATATTAGCCTGCGTTAGCTCACGTAGGCTAACGTATGGTCAGCTCACTTAAAGGGCTAAAAGGGGAAACAGCTGCAATAATCTGAGAAGATCCCGTCGATCGCAGACGCTTCTCCAGTACATTTTTACAGCTTTCCCAACTGGCAGTTCAAAGGCGTTTGTGTTGATTTGGGGGTCGTAAATCACTACCGGCAGAAGCTGACTCCTCACGGCGTCGGTCGTGGGGAGGCTCCGGTGTTACTATAGGTCATACTGTATATTCTGTGTAGCTTTTTTCTTTTTAAATAAATGTCTTATTTAACTTTTACTTCCGGAGCTTATTGTAATTGTGTGGGAAGGACTGAAAACCGCACTGTGGACCTGAGGATACATGTGCATGTTACAGGCATAGATGCATGTGTCGTTGAAACGAGAGAGATGATTAAATCCTCCAGCTTAGTGCCTTCTGTTCAACATGTATAGAAAATAACATTCGGGCTGTTTTAGGGATTAAAGGCAGAGTTATTGTGTTAAACAAGAGAAACATCTTGATTTTGAACACTCACCGTGGGCTTAATGAGGGCTTTTCTGCTCACTTTTTAACCCATTTTACTTCTAATCGTTCAACTGTGTAACCTTAGTTTAATTCATGCCGTGCATTTTTATCTTAATGGGCTTATTTATTCTTTTGCCGCTTGTACAGCAGTGTTAACAGTTCTTTTTATATTATATATAAATATATGAGTAGTATTATTATACCACCACTTATACTGTTACAACGGATGTGACATCAAAATACTGTTAAATACTCGTCTTATGCAACAAAAGCAGGAGGAGGAGGCTGTTCAGCGCTCGTCTCCGTCTGAGGATCAAGACAGTTAGAGAAGGTTGCGTTTACCTCTTCAGGAAAAAAGGAGTTTCTTAGGAAATCACTGTGCTGAGAAATCGAGAAAAAAAAAGCACATTTTACACTTTTAATTCCTCGAACGGTTGGTGGATTTTACTGTGACCCTGCACAGGAGCATCTTTTCTAGCGTTTAGCGAACCAGACCGAGGCCTCGAGAAGGGTCGAGGGTGTCGATCGAGCAAATTTCCAAACCCGAGCGTGAATTCAGAAAAGTCAGGGTCTCGTTTCTGTGCAAATCAGAGTTTTGTAAAAAAAATAAAAAACCACCCACCGGCCATTAACATGTGCAGTTGGAGCTCTATTACACGGAACTCTTTTTAACCGTCCATCACCGTGAGTTGGTTTGGTAAGAAATCTGTATATAATGGAGCCCATCCACGTTGTGGTCGACATGTTGAGATTCATATCAGGGATGTGGGGGGAAGCTTTTCTTTATTTGTTTTTAATATCCTCCCTAAAGAGAGAAAGCAGATCGTCTTATTCCCGTCAAATCAGTGTTCTGCTGTTAAATCTGATGGTTTGGGTCGTTTTCAAACCCTCGTCGATAACAGTTGGTTGTTTATGAGAGGAGAGTTGACAACATCAGGCTTCAGCTCAACATCTCTCCTCGTTTTTTTTTTATTTTTATTTTTTTTTAATGGGAATTGCAGTAACTCTCATAAAGTGTCAAACTGTGGTGTGTTTCCTTTTGACTAAACCCAGTATTCCCTAGTGTCACTAGGCCAGTCCACATGTATTAGCCGGATGAAATAAACGACACGAGAAGCTGTTAACAGGTCAGAACCATAAACGTGTGCAGTGTTTGCTGTATTATTATTTTCTTTTTTTTTTTTTTTACTCATTGGAAAACCGTTTCTTTACATATTGAAGTAGCAGATAACCTTCCATTTGCCAAGTTTTCTATCGCTTGTATACAAACACACGATGTACATACGGTATGTGGTAGTGGTTTAGGAAGTGTCTGGATATCTGAGGATGAGAAAAAAAACAAAATAAAAAAACCCCACGTCTAGTTAGGTGGATTTCATACAGCATCAGTCCGCTGGGGACGTACCGATGAAAATGTGCTTCCTACACCGCAAAAACTTGGAAATGACATTGTAAATAAAGCTTGTATAAAACAGGCCGCTTGTCTGTTCTGATGTGTTCTCGCATAATGTTCTCGCTATCAGCCGCCGCACACGCCTCGTCAGACCTCAAAGTCGGCTGCCCGAGGGGCGAGTCCGTTGTTTGCCCCTAAAATTAACTCGTCTAATTAAAGCAGCCAGACCTGATGTTTCCCCAAAACAATATCAAATGACAATGTGTCGGCGGCGTCGCTCCTAATAATGAACCGACAGCAGATCATCCTCAGGTGTGTCGTGCCTCTTTACAGGATTTTTGTTAAATACAAACCCTTCACCTGAGCAGGGAAGGATCTTTGATTAGGGAAGTTTAACACCCATCAGATGGTGGCAGATGTGATTTACGTTGTTTTATGTCTCCAAAAATGTCCTTTAAACCAACACGTGAAGGATTTTCAGACCTCCAGGGCAGAGTTTGATTTGAGAAAAACATGCTTCCCTTGATCCAGGACTTTTCCAGCCTTCGTCTCACTAATGCCACACAATTCTGCATTTGTAGGATATAACTGAAGTACATTTAGTCAAGTCCTTTAGTTGAGTTTGAGGTACAGACGTCCTCAGATGTATTCATCCCCTTCCATTAAAGAAAAGACAAAATTCACAACAGTCGCTCAAATAACTAGAAACTGAAAAAAGTAATAATAAATAAAAATTTGCTAAATTATAATTTAGTGAAATAAGACGTTGCTTTTGAATTGTGGTTGAAAAGAATAATTTAAAAAAACAAACAAAACTGTCCTGTTGTTCAATGAAATATTAGTTTACGGATCCCAATAATAAATGGAAATAAAAAGAAGAATAGATAAAATTTTAAAAAATAAATAATGTGGCAATATAAAGTAATATTAATCTAAACTGAATCCATAAAAGACAGATAAATAAAATAATAATTTATATATTTCTTAATTTTTATTTTATTGATTAATTTTTACAAATTATTTTTATGTATTTATTTTTATTATTTTTTAAATTTACTCTTTATTATTTTATTATTTTGTTTCATTTTTATTTGTATATTTTTTTATATTATAATATTTTATATTTTATATATATTCAGGCTTTACAGGGTTAAGAGCAGTGAGGCTACAACTAGATTGTAAAATGTGATGTATTGCTGCAGGTTCAACTATCAAACTGTATATAAATAGTTAAAACGAGCTCAACCTTCAGCATCTCCAGCTGTTAGATGCAACAAAGACAATATAGTAGCAGTAATATTAATCCAAAAACATCAGACGTGTTATTAAAACACCATCAGGGAGTATTTTTACTTTAATATGCTGATAATAGAAACCGTTACTTAAATAAGGTTGAAAATGCAGGACTTTTACTTGTCTGATGCTACTTCAGTAAATGATCTGAATACTTCCACAGTTCCATCATGGTTCCAGAACAGCCATGCATAATGTTTAGTTCTGATCTTCACTACCCGCCTCTCCTGTGAGCCGACTCCGTGCTCGCTGGGCCTCGGCCCGGCCCGGCCTGGGAAACCAACGCCCGGACGCCCCTCGAGGCTGCGGACGCCGGAACTTCCCCGTATCGGTGTCCCATTCTTCATTCCTGAGAGCTTCTTTTCCCCCTTTTCTCCCTCACCTCAGCCTCTGGGTGCTTCCTCGTGACGAGTCCCGGCAGAGCTCCAGAGTCAATGTAAATACGCTTCTCCTGTTACTCACACAGCGGAGGGTCACAGTCCGCCGCCTTCATATCGTTTTCCATATCTGGGTCACAGCCTATATGTGCTGATGGTGTATTTTCCCACAGTTGGGCTAAAAGTTAGACGGTAAGCTGCTGTTTGTGTCTTCACCTGTTTGCTGCGATGTTGCACGCAAGAACGAACACGTCTGGAAATGTATATTTACTTCAAACGTTTGTCAGGATGCATATTTGCACATTGACGTAGGCACATTTCTTTCATTACTGTGATGCAAACATATGGTGCATCATTGTCCTAAAGAAGTAATCTAGTGAATTTGAATAATTGTAAATTGACAGCATGCGTTGTGGTGTTAATGGTCGTAAAGGTGAGTTCCAGCCGTGCCAGCTGCTCTGTGGTGACCAGGTGGTGACTCCATCATGTCCAGACATCCATGGTAACCAGAGGACGACTCCCACTGACTGATCATCCTCTGATTGTTCAAGCTCCACCACCAGCTTCACATTTCTGTTCAACTAGTCTTAATGAAGTGGCACAAGCTTTTCAACAGATTCTCAGATGGTGCATCCTCATGACGTGATGATCCAGAGTCCAGTGTAATGTCGACTTTAAGTTGAAGGCTGTTTTCCGCTGCAGGAACTTGTTGAGTTTTAGAGCAGCCAATCACAGGAACCAGCCCTCTATAGGACCTCTTTGAGAGCTGCTATTGAAGAGGGAAAAAAAGCTCCTGCTTTGGGGTAAGTACATCTGAGCAGCTTGGTGGCACTTGTTTTTTTTTTTCTCTCAAACATCACTATGTGTAACCTATCATAGACTAACACAACATCCATGAAGCGACCGACTCTGTTCCCTTCATGGTTGTTTTGTTTTGTTGGACTGACGTTGCGATCGAAGCTGTCACAAAATCCTGATGTTACCTCCTGGAAATGTTCAAACCAACTTGTACCTGCCCAGAGTTTCTGCAGGAGAAAGCTGATGACTCACGTCCACCTGAGGATGAACCAATAGCTTCGGTGAGCCCTTTAATTTCCCCATGATGCCACCTGTTAGATAAAAACTTCAGTTTGTCCATTACTTGAAATTTATGACCAAAGTTCCTGAAAATTTAAAACATCTGTCAGTCTCAGAAAACTGAAAATCAAACTTTTCTGATTTACCTTCCGTGTTGTGTTGCTCATATGTGTTCCCATTCAACCTAAAAGCTTCAAATAAGGGACGACATTAATGAAACTCAGGCTCGCTTTTCAAAGTTTTAAAAATATGAAGCCCTGTGGGTTTTAAATGCAAACTAAAAATAGCAAAAATCTACGAGGAATAACATTTTTTTTGCATTGCAAAACCACTGAAGTGAAGCAAGTGTCTGCAGCTCCTAACATGCTGATACAACAACAGACTGGAGTCATATAGCTTCTAACAACAGCCATAGTGTATATTAGCATGTTTGCATTGGAGCTGTAAGCATGGACTATGTAGGTAATGTATTATTTACATGTCGAGCTGCACGAGCAATAAATTAAAGATGTTTATTACTGTGTAGTTTACAGTGGTAGACAACAGTGCTCAGTATTGTAGTGATGGCTGATGATGCAAATCTACTTAATGTGGCTTGAAGAGCATCACCTCCACCTCACACCGCGACTCTGGATGTTCCATTTAGTCATAACTTCAAAGAATCACCGGAGAAAAGCTGAGCTCAGTAACAGACGGCGAGTCATTATGAACGGACTGAACTTTCCCTCGAGTGAATCAGACTGAACATCCTGATTCCTCTTCTGTTGTTAGGGTCGGACGTTCTCTGAAGGAGAACAAACGAGAACAACCAGGAAGTGTTCAGGGTCACTCTATCTCAGAATTTAACTTAGTTTGGACGTTCTCTTCTCAGAATCCACACCTTTGCAGACGTGTGACGATTAAACCGAACGCTCGTTTTACACGAACATTGTTTCTAACATCCAAAGAAAACGTTGTCATTGATCCCAGATGTTTTTTTTTTTCTTTCTTTCGTTCTTTCTGTTTCTCAATATTGAAGTAATTACGGAAACATTCCACCAAGAAGGGGAAAAAAAAAATCAGAGCAAACGAGAGTTGTCATTTCCCTAATGAAAGAGCCTGTTATTATTTCTTCATAACTTAGCGTTCTGGCTGACAATATGGGCTTTATGACACGTTCAATTTACATTTCAATCAGACTGGTGAAGGTAGGTGGTGGTGGGGGTGGTGGGTGATGAGGCCTGGTCTTCCTTGGCTTTCATTGACTCACACACACACATGGATCAGGTGGTGTTTCAGCACTTTTTTGGATGGGAGCCTGGCGGATACCTGACCTGAGATTTTAACGCGCACACGCAACACAAAACCCACGGACGCGCTCGCACACACTCGGAGCACTTTCACCGCCGGCCAGCACTCAGCCAAAACCCTCCTCCCATTTTACATTATCATTTTTGGCACGGCTTCAGTGGAGCGCAGGTGAGAAGTGCAGCGAAGGGGGGAAGCCGAGGCCTCGCGCTCGGCCTGTTGACACAGTCGGAGGGTAAAAGGAAAAGCGGAGTGGCTCTTTAGATTGTATTAACCCCCGCGAGCGAGGAGCGCTTCCAGGGCAGCCGCTTGACAGACAGCAGCTTTGTGCGAGCGGCTGCGGTTTGTAAAAGGCCGAAACGTGCAGGCCGGGCGGGAGCTCCATGTTTTTCTGTGACACGAGTCTTTCATTTCCAATGTTTTCTTTTATTCCCGTCATATTTTTGGCCTCCTCTCCAGCTCTTTACGCCTCTCAGTGAGTGACAGGCTCCAGAGGCTGCTGGACGAGCAGATAAGTCCGACATGAAAGCTCATATTCAGCTATTTTTAACATGTTTTGACCTCATTATCCTGCAGATTAGCAGACTGTATGGACATGTGTGTGTCCTAAATATAAACGGCTTAATTTTTTTGTTTTGTTCGATGTATTATTGAAGGAGAGAACGGTCCCCAGTCAGGTTTGGGACCACAGATTTACAGATGTGCACATGTGCTAATTACCCAGCAGCTGCTTAATTTGAACCTTAATTTTGACTTTTCACTTGTCGCACACCAAAATGCACCATTACAGCCTTTGTGAATCTATAAAGCTTAAGAATCCAACATCATAGTTTTATGCACATCCATGCAGGTGAGGTGATATTTCTCTGATCGACAGGTGGCGGTAATGTACCAAGAGATGCTGCAACGCCTCCAGCACATGCAAAGGACGACAAGGAGGTAATAAATCAGAATTCTTTATATGGACATTTTTGCCTTAAAGATGCACATGATGCTTTGCGCAGGGTGACCATATTTTGACAACTGAAAACCACAATGAGATGCTCGA